GACACAGCTGATGATCAATCATAGCTGATCACATGACAATTGTATACGATGGATGGCTTGCTTTCATGCCATCCTTGTATACACTTGTGTTGTTAGCTGTGATTGGTCACAGCAGTCACATGGTACAGACAGGGCTAATCACAGCCCATATGTACCATGTGATGAGCTTTGCCCAATCACAGTTAATCACAACAAAAGACTGAACGAATCAGTTTCATTCAGTAAAAATGGTTTCTAATATCAATGAAATACATTGGTATTAGCAATCATAATTTGTAAAAAAAAAAATCCTGATCACTATGGCAACATTGTATTTCTCTGGTCACAGTGTGTTGAAAACGAAATAGGAAAAAAAGAAAAAAAAAAATGTAGTAAAAAAAGAAAAAAATAATAGAAAAAAAACTGAAAAAATTACATTTAAATTCTTATTCTTGTTTTTTTTTTTTACATTCTGTCACCAATCAGTTATAGAACACTGGACTGGACTGGTGACAATACAAAAAAAATTGTGAATGAATTTTTTTTTAATTTCTTCATTTTCCAAAAAATTGTGACAAAAAATTATAACTTTAAAAAATTTCCCCATGCCTCCAAATAAATACCTTGGACTGTCCATTTTCCAAAAATGTGTCATTTTGGGGGTATTTGTACTATCCTGGCGTTTCTGGGCCTCAAGAAATTAGCCGTCAAATTCATCAGGATTGATCGTTTGTCAGATATGTATACCATGGTTTGTGGGACTCTATAACTTTCCTACAGACTAAATAATATACACTAATGTGGGGTATTTTCACCAAGGAAATGTAGCAGAATACATTTTGAGCTTAATTTATGAATCAAGGTAATTTATTTACAAACTTTTATAACGAAGTGAAGAAAAACGTGTTTTGTTTTTTTTTTTTGTAAAGTTTAGGGTTTTTTTATTTAGCAAAACATTAAAAACTCAGTGGTGATTAAATACCACCAAAATAAAGCTCTATTTGCGTGAAAAAAAATGCTAAAAACATTTTATCGGTACAATGTTGCATGACCACGCAATTGTCATTCAAAGTGCAACAACGCTGAAAGCTGAAAATTGGCCTGAGCAGGAAGGGGGTAAAAGTGCCTGGTATTGAAGTGGTTAATAGTGTAAATAAAATTTTGGATAACAGATGGATGACTTATGGATGAAAATTGTAAAGATCTTGGCCAAATACATTGAAACATAGACCCTTTAGTTATATAGTGCAAGAGAGCAATACAATTGGGACAAAAGGTACAAACTGATTTGGTTCCAAATGAAGGACAGTTAGAAGCTTCGCTATGATATTTTTTATCCATTTTTATTAAAAAGTTTTAATGTTTATTTAGCTTGAGGTGATTGTAGCCATATTAATGCACTTTTACAATTGAGTACTGTGCAGGCTACTTTTTTATTTGCACTAACATAAAATGTTTTCAGGACAAGCTTTTATGGTACGTCCCCCTTTCAAGGTCCAAGCAAACTAATGCCCAAAGAATGTTGAAGTAAGACAATAAAAGGGGAAAAAACACAAACATACATTTACAGCAATGGCAATTTGGATAGTTAGTGAGATAAGAGAGAGAAAGAGGTATAGACTGGGAGGGAAGTAAAACTGTTGGATAATGATTACAAAAACCCTGGTCTAAATTCAGACCATTATCTTTTGTATTAAAATAGAACTATCATTCTTAGTTCAAAAGTTTTCCTTTCGTGAGTAGTTTTGAAATTCCCTTTAAGAATTAAAACATTAAAGTGTTACTAAACCCAAGATCCTGAATTCACTATGAACCAGCAAACACAAATGCTCCAGCGCTTGGGGATGGACTCGATGCAGGCTACAACCACATTAAGAATGTCCTGGAACATGCACACCTTGCTGCCCTCAAATGGACCGGGGAAATCCAAATATACTGAATGAGGAAAGACAAAACAGAGGGCGCACAGGCCTAGTGCATTACCATAAAAAATGGTATTTTTACCATTACGGACTGTTACTCAGCGCGGTGTTGACCCAGCTGTTCTTTATGATGTGCCTTGACTATATTGTCGTTTGTGAGTACAACACCTACTTTATTTCATATTAAACATTTTTTATGGTAATGTATTAGGCCTGTGCGCCCTCTGTTTTGTCTTTCCTCATCCTGAATTCACTATATCTGGTCTCCCATAGTACACAGAACATGTAAATACAATTATTTTAGTAAATATAAATTGCTACAGTAAATACCTTTTCTTATCAGCAGTTAGAGCAGTCTTGTGACTTCTATCAGTGTCCAGCCGAGCACTGGTTAAAGCTTGTAGGAGGAGTTTTAATTTTGCTGTAGGAGGATGCAGAACCCTTGACCTCTGTCAGGACAGTGGGCTGATCACATGCACTCTCCCAAGAAAAAAAAACTCTCTAGCAATACACACCAAACTGAGCATGTGCAGAGTGAATCCACATGATATATCTTATCAGGAGATAAGAGGGGGCACTGAAGGGGAGGATCAGAGAAGTCAGAATCAAACAGCGTTTTTACACAATGCAGAGGATTAACCCCTTAAGTATCACAGTGAGTATACCAAGCATGCTTTATTGCATATGCAGACTGATTTTACTGTTGTGGGTTCAGTAACACTTTAAAGTCTTCCATAGTGTGGTCTGGTTGTGAGAAATGATGTACCATGGGTGTGCAGAAATATTCTTCCTTATGTTTCTTGATGATGTATCTGTGCAAATTTATCCTTGATTGTAACTTCTGTCCTGTTGCAACAACATAAGATCCTTTGCTACATATTGTGCACTGGATGAGGTACACAACAGTACTGGAGGCGCAGTTTTATGACCCTGTGATATTGAAGGTGATATTGATGATTTGGTTGCACAGTTTTGAAGAGTTTTGTATTGCAGGGTTTGGTTCCATTACACAGGTCTGCAAAAAAATTTTTTTCAAGAGCTGTTTTGGTTATTCCACATAATCTTTATTTTTCTTGGATGCGCTGAATCTGAAAATGACCTCCATTTTGTCATAGGACATCACGTTTTCCTGTCAATTTAGCTAACTATGTTAAATAAGGCAATACCTCAAAATAAATGGAAACAGACCTATAAAATTAAAGTTTTATTACAATTTTTTCCTGAAAATCATTTTTTGAACTGAAATGAGCTCACCTACACGCACTAAACTCGATTCTTCTTCCCTGTGAGGCTCCTCTTGGTGCATTTACACTTGTGAGTAGCATCTGGAATGTCTCTCTGAAGCATCCAACAGTAGTCTGCCATCATTGTAATGCTCCATTTTCCCTGGTATCTCCTTTCCATCTCTTTAATGTCTTGGTGGAATTGTTCACCTTGTTCCTCACTCACAGTTCCCAAATTTTCAGGAAAGTAGTCAAGGTGGGACTGGAGGAAATGCACTTTCAAACTCATCAGGCAACCTAAAGCTTGAAATGCTTTCAGCATTCGTCCAACAATCTTTTTGTAGTGAGGATCTTTGTTATTGCCTAAAATTTCTGTATGACTTCTTTAAATGCAATCCACCCTTCTTTTTGAGGATCCGTCATGGTATTGACAAACTCCTGATCAACTATAAGCCTTCTAATGTCTGGTCTGAGGAACACACCTTCCTTCAATTTTGCCTCCGACAGGCCTGGAAACTTGGTGACCAAGTATTTGAAGCATTCTCCATCTCTTGGAAGTGATTTTACGAATTGCTTCATCAATCCCAATTTTATGTGGAGAGGTAGTAGAAGAACTTTATGGAAAGGTACCAAAGTTTCTTGAAGGACATTTTTTTCACCGACTGTTAGCACCCTCGGCTGCCAACTCTTCTTGGTCCAGTGATTTTGTCGGTCTCGACTGTCCCATAGACACAGAAAACAAGGGTATTTGGTATCCCACCCACTGGATTCTTCAGGAAAGATTAACACCTTCTACCATTAGAAGCACAGACTCAGGGCTGAGGCTTACATATACAGCATGCTGCTGAGTATCCCAGTAGTCAGACATGTCACTCAGAGCAGCACTTGTATTCACCCCCTTTGCAGGGGGCGAGGGGCAGAGATTGTTTACCTGCAAATAACAACAAAGGGCCAGAAGAGAACTAGGGAAATAAGGAAATAGAATTTTTTTTTCCCTAAAACTTGCTTAGCTTATGTATATATTGCTGACCATCAGATTTACAGTGCTATATTTTTTTTTACATAACTTGGACAACCCCTTTAAGGTTTTTTTTTCGGCATTTTATATCTTAAATGCACGTATGTGAATTAATTAATTAGTAATTTGGACTTTAAATTTGGTTAAAAACCCATAATATAAAAAAAAATACCAAAAATTTAAAAAATTTGATAAATTTTAAGACAATTTTGCATCTTGTGGCAAATCATGACGTCTAGGAGTTTTTTCAATATTTTATTTGTTTTCAGCACACCAAAATACATGGAAATTAGTTGAAAATAATGAAACAGTTTTTTAGTCGCAGACCTGTGTTATTTGTGACTTCATAATAAGAATGGAGTTTCCTGCTCATAAGTTTATATCTGAGGTTGGGTGGTTTTCTGAAAGCCAGTATTGGGGGTCATTGGAATATTTATTTCAGAGTGTCATCCTCTGTTATGATGGGCTGCAGCCAGGGGCGGACTAACAACTCATGGGGCCCCCGGACAATAGGGGATCATGGGGCCCCTGTACCCTTGCCCAAACTCAAACCATACCCAAAAAAGCCTATGAAAGGTACCAAGGGCATCTCATGGGGCCCCCTACTGACCCTGGGTCCTTGGGCAGTGCTCGAGTGCCTGAATGGTCAGTCCGCCCCTGGCTACAGCTCATCCCTTCTAGTGTTGAATTCTATGTGGTTATTAGAGGTACAGTAGTTAGGAGTAGGCTGGATTCCACTTAAAGACAGAAGACTCAATGCATGCAGAGCAAAGCCACCTTAACTGCTTAAGGACCGCCCTATAGCAGATATACTGCTACAGGGTGGCACCTGTGCACAGAATCATGTGTATATATACATGATTTTGCATTTCCTGGTAGGGGGCGTGAGCGAACCGCGTGCGCCCTACCTGTGCCGCCATTCAGGGCCGCGGATGTCAGTCACCGGATCCCAGCCGATAATTATCTGCCGGAGCCCGATGATTACAGAGCATCTCAGACGGGGAGGAAGATTGTTTTGTTTACAAACAATCTTCCTCCCTGTCAGCTCGGGCACACTGCACAGTACAGCCATCCCGATCAATGTGCTTACAGTGAAGAACACTCCCCCCCGCCCCCTAGTAAAACACTCCCAGCACACAGTTAACCCTTTGACCACCCCTCACATTAACCCCTTCCTGCCCAGTGCCATTAGTATAGTATCAGTGCTTTTTTTTACCACGATCATTGTATTGGTGTCACTGGAGTGTCAGTGACACCAAGTTAGTCCCCCCCCAGTGTCAGAATGTCTGCTGCAGTCCCACTAAAAGTCGCTGATTGCCGCCATTACTAGTAAGAAAAAAAAAATCTCATTATCTGTACCGCCATTTGTAGATGCTATAACGTTCACGTAGACCAATTAATTTACACGTATTGGGATTTTTTTTAGCAAAGACATGTCACAGAATACATTTTCGCATTGATAGCAAAAAGTCTGTCTTTTTTGTTTATAGCACAAAAAATAACAACCGCACAGGGGATTGAATACCACCGAAAGAAAGCTCAATTCGTGGGAAAAAAAAGGATGTAAATTTCATTTGGGTGCAGTGCAATTGTCAGTCAAATTAATGCAGAATCGTAACGCAAAAAAATGGCCTGCTCAAGAAGGGATGTAAATCCTCCGGTGGGCAAGTGGTTAACAAGGCTCCTCTGTGAAGCATCCTTGTCTGATGTACTGTATGTAAGCATCCCATGTAGGACATATACGGTATGTAGAAATGGGTGCATTTAGAGCAGCATACCCAGAGCACACCCCACCCAACAAAACACAGGAACTCCAGAATTGTTTGAGACTTCTGAAGATCTCAGAATGTATCTTTACCAAATACATAAAACCACCAGTCTATAGTTTATTAGAATAACAGCTGCTACTAATATAACATTTAAAGCCCACACATGCCTGCTGTGCTGGGATTGTAGTTTTGGGAAGGAGGGACAGTACATTTGTGTTCAATTTGATTAAAAAAAATATAAAAAAATGACACAAAGTTTCAGGGTAGGTAGATTAGCTGGTAAATATTTGCAGATATTTACAACCTACGAATTTGGTTGCCTGATCTGTCTTAGACCTCAAACCTCCTAGACAGATTTGCTCATTTATATTCATTAATAATACTTTTGTTGCCTAAAAAAAGAATAATAAAAGCTGGTGTTACTGACAGTTGAAAGACATTATCGTCTCACATAATAGGGTGGAGGTATAAGGGTATTAATTTAGTGTTGTATTTTAGTTATCAGATTCCAAATAATGGGTTTGCTGCGTGTCAAAAACAAAACACTTTAGCTGCTTATTACCCTGCCATCTCTTACCCACACAATTCAGCATTCTCAGTACAATCAAGAAATAAGAAATTATGTGTTGTTCAGAGTCACTCTGAACACTGACAGAACAGTCCTGTGCAGGAATGCCTGGTGCTAGATGAAAACAGTCTGTGCTTGTGATGAAAACAGCTTGTGGCTTTTGAAATTATTAGAAAGTGTGGACATTCGTCTGCTACCAAAGTCAGTAAAGGGACAGTTTACCCAAAAATAATTTCAGCTATAGGTGAAGTATATTGTCACCACATGGCTTCTGTTTTCATATCTTGAGTCTAGACTATGTTGTTAATGTTCCTCCCTAAATTCAAAAATAAAATACGGAGAGCAGATTTCTTTCAGAGCCACAGTAGGTGTGCAGAGACTCCCACTCACCCTGAAGCAATCTAGAAAAAACTTTTTTGGGGTTGCTTGACATGTACAGTAAATGTGTATATATACGTGATGTTGTATTTCCCGGTGATTACTGGCCGGCGCCTGGTGATTGCCGAGCATCTCCTACGGGGGGGGGAGAACTGTTTGTAAACAAAACAGTTCTCCTTCCTTTCAGCTCGTGAACGCTGCTTTGAATGGCTGTGCACAGCACAGCCATGCAAAGCAGTGTGCTTACAGTGAAGCACAGAGACACTGCTCCTAATGAAACAGCACACAGTTAACCCTTTGATCGCCCCACATGTTAACACCTTCCTACCCAGTGCCATTAGTACAGTGTCAGTGCTATTTATTAGCACTGATCACTGTATTGGTGTCACTGGGGGTGTCAGTGACACCAAGTCAGTTCCCCCCAGTGTCAGAATGCCTGCCACAGTCCCGCCATTACTAGTAAAAAAACAAACAAATCCCAGTATATATATCACCATTTGTAAATGCTATAACTTTCACGTAAACCAATGAATTTACACGTACTGGGATTTTTTTTTTTTAGCAAAGACATGTAGCAGAATACATTTTGGCCTAAAATTATGATATTTGATTTTTAAAATTTTTTACTGGACATGTTTAATAGCAAAAGTCAAAAATATTGTTTTTTCTCAAAATTGTTAGACTTTTTTTTTTCTATAGCGCAAAAAACAAAAACCGCACAGGCAATCAAATACCAAAGAAAGCTCAATTCGTGGGAAAAGAAGGACGTACATTTCATTTGGGTGCAGTGTTGCCTGATTGCGCAATTGTCAGTTAAAGTAATGCAGCGCTGTAACTCAAACCACTTCTTTAACTGCTGCCTGACCACCCTATAGCAGACATACTGCTACAGGGCAGCACAGGTGTGCTAAATCACATGTGTGATTCGCACTCCCGTGGTTTTCAAATGGTGGTTTGTCCCATTTTGCACCACTGAGTTGTAGTGGATCCATAGTTCAGGACATCCCACTTACATAGCCTTACCAATTATGACAACCTATATTCATATCTCACCCAAAAGGAAAGGAATAGTGGTTTAGACATATCCACGTATTGGCCTGATTTGTTTGAGAGTCAGTCCTATACACTTCTTTTCTTTTTCTGAGACAGCCTGTAAAGAGTCTTCAATTGTTGTAAGGAAATGTTTTTCTGTTCACTCCAAACTGTAGTGGACCCTTTATTAAATTACTGTAACATAAAAAAAACAAAACCTAGCATGGATACTTCTCTGCCTATTTAGACATTGGCTATTTATTATGTTATGTTATGCCTTGAGTTATTTTTATTATTGACTGTGTTTGGCAAAGCAAATCTTGGGTTGACCTTAGCTTGCCAGAAATCTCACTGAAAGTGACTGAAGTTAGATGTCTGAGTGTCCTGAAATGCATCACTACTTCACCCAAAACTGAAACATCCACAAACTTATTCTGTATTTTTTGTGAAAAATCAATAAACAAAGTAAACAAGGAAACCTCCACAATTTAGGCAGGACTAAAGCCTGATGTCTGTTCAAGGGGCCCTTCACCTTCAAGTTTCTGCAGGAAACAGGGGAAAAGTGCAGTTTGGTTAAATCTATGCACCTACTTGTAGATTACACTTGGTGCACAGTTGGTGTCTGAAGCGGTGGGCCATGCCAGTACAGACAATGGAGATGGGGATGCTTCTCATTGCTTAATGCAATCCTTATCAATGTCAGTCAAAAGGATGGGGTGGCAAAGTCACAACCTTGCCTAAGGCCCCATTCTGTCTTAATCCATCTCTCAGAATTCATACTTTGCTATTTAACCTGATATTGAATGTCTCGATAAAGCTTCTGAATGGATACATGGCGATTGCAAGGCAGACTGATAACAGGGGCCATTATGGTATAAAATCTAAAAGTATGCATGCTGAAGAGTGGAGCACTTTTTACCTGACAGAATACCAGCTCTCTGCTTTTGCTTTTTAACTTTTTTTTTTTTTTATATTCCCGTGATGTTTTGCTGAGAAGCAATCATGATATTTTTGTATTGTCTATACAAGAAGACTGCACAACAGTTACATAGTCATTTTAAAGGAAGCCAATTTCTGTTCCTTTTTACCCATGGGATTACATGTATTGTTGGTGCTGTTCTTTTTTCGATTCCTTCTTTAAAATACCAGTTCATACCTTTATACTCTTGTTCATTGTGATGCTCTGTAGAACAAATTTCAGTTAGTCTACTATTACACTGAAGCCAAAGAGAATATGTGATACCTTTTGTCAAAGCTTGGGCTTTTGACGGTGAGTATGAGAAGAGAAACTGACACTAAGTTTAGCTGCTGATTGCTGTGACATAGGCTTAGCCTCTGAATCTTAAACGTTTAAAAGCTGAATTAAGACTTGGAGAATTTCCTTTTTATAATATATACATTGTTAGCAGGCTGAATAGGTGGGGAGCATTATGTGCTGTCTGTTATTTGTGGGTCAAATATATTGCAATGCATTATGCATGAACAGATGTTCATTTAAAATCCCTAGCAAAGTTTTGGTGGTAAATAATCTATTATGCAATGACTAAGCTGCTTTTCAGGGTAATCATTTTGTTTGCCTATTCTGTACTAGGTGTATTAACAGCACAAGGCTGACTACTGTTCCAAACAACAATTATTCTTTCTACTGCTTGATGAAGCCCATTGAATTTATGGAAGGCCATGTAGGCCTGGTCAAGGGGAAAAGGGGGAGACAGTCTATCTTTGTTTCATACTTTAAGCACACGATGGTCTACCAAAAGCAAACATTAAAAAGTTTATTGTTGCTATCATAGAATATTGTAATAGTGAAACTCAGCTTGTGCTCCATACTCCTTGGAGCACCTACAGTGGGGCAAAAAAGTATTTAGTCAGCCACCAATTGTGCAAGTTCTCCCACTTAAAAAGATGAGAAAGGCCTGTAATTGGCATCATAGGTAGACCTCAACTATTAGAGACAAAATGAGAAAAAAATCCAGACAATCACATTGGCTGATTTAGAAAGAATTTATTTGCAAATTATGGTGGAAAATAAGTATTTGGTTACCTACAAACAAGCAAGATGTCTGGCTCTCACAGACCTGTACCTTCTTCTTTAAGAGGCTCCTCTGTCCTGCACTCATTACCTGTATCAATGGCACCTGTTTGAACTTGTTATCAGTATAAAAGACACCTGTTCACAACCTCAAACAGTCACACTCCAAACTCCACTATGGTGAAGACCAATGAGCTGTCGAAGGACACCAGAAACAAAATTGTTGACCTGCACCAGGCTGGGAAGACTGAATCTGCAATAGGCAAGCAGCTTGGTGTGAACAAATCAACTGTGGGAGCAATAATTAGAAAATGGAAGACATACAAGACCACTGATAATCTCCCTCGATCTGGGGCTCCACACAAGATCTCACCCCGTGGGGTCAAAATGATCACAAGAATGGTGAGCCAAAATCCCAGCACCACACGGGGGGACCTAGTGAATGACCTGCAGAGAGCTGGGACCAACGTAACAAAGGCTACCATCAGTAACACACTACGCCGCCAGGGACTCAGATCCTGCAGTGCCAGATGTGTCCCCCTGCTTAAGCCAGTACATGTCTGGGCCCGTCTGAAGTTTGCTAGAGAGCATTTGGATGATCCAGAAGAGGACTGGGAGAATGTCATATGGTCAGATGAAACTAAAATAAAACTGTTTGGTAGAAACACAACTCGTTGTGTTTGGAGGAGAGAGAATGCTGAGTTAGACATCCAAAGAACACCATACCTACTGTGAAGCATGGGGGTGGCAACATCATGCTTTGGGGCTGTTTCTCTGCAAAGGGACCAGGACGACTGATCCATGTACAGGACAGAATGAATGGGGCCATGCATCGTGAGATTTTGAGTGCAAACCCCCTTCCATCAGCAAGGGCATTGAAGATGAAACGTGGCTGGGTCTTCCAACATGACAATGATCCGAAACATACCGCCTGGGCAACGAAGGAGTGGCTTCGTAAGAAGCATTTCAAGGTCCTGGAGTGGCCTAGCCAGTCTCCAGATCTCAACCCCATAGAAAACCTTTGGAGGGAGTTGAAAGTCCGTGTTGCCCAGCGACAGCCCCAAACCATCCCTGCTCTAGAGGAGATCTGCATGGAGGAATGGGCCAACATACCAGCAACAGTGTGAGCCAACCTTGTGAAGACTTACAGGAAACGTTTGACCTCTGTCATTGCCAACAAAGGATATATAACAAAGTATTGAGATGAACTTTTGATATTGACCAAATACTTATTTTCCACCATAATTTGCAAATAAATTCTTTCCAAATCAGTCAATGTGATTGTCTGGATTTGTTTTCTCATTTTGTCTCTCATAGTTGAGGTCTACCTATGATGCCAATTACAGGCCTCTCTCATCTTTTTAAGTGGGAGAACCTCCACAATTAGTGGCTGACTAAATACTTTTTTGCCCCACTGTATATACTTTTTATATAAAAAAGTATATAAATACCCTTTTACAGCGACCTTTGTTCTAGTTGTGTGTTCTAGTTGTTTTTTTCTTGGGCAATGGAGGAGTCTAAAATGCTGCAAAGACCTGTAACAATAATGAGGCTATCTACAGGATTCTCCAGTGATCGCAGAACAGTGTGATGGCATATCCCCAGTGGGTGGATAACAATTTGGGCTCACAGGTTGTGGGTTTGATACCAGGTATAGCTCTACCTGAACCTCAGAGAGGAGTTTCTGTGGGGGACAGTGCCAGGGAAGATGTGAGTATTGCAGTGGGAAGTATTTTTTTTAACATATTTAAACATATTTAAACAATGTGGGTAATTTAAACAATGTATTTTTCTATTTTTATGTAAGCTAGAGTTCAACTTTAAGTCCTCCCACACTGTCTAGGAGGAAGCTACAACTGCCTACATGCATTTCCAGTTGATTTCCAAAATGATCATGGAAATCCAAAACTTGGGCAGCCTACTATTATGGATGTGCCAGTGAGGCTACAGTCTTGGGACAGATTTCACGTAGAATATTTCACAGGCTGTACTGAATTCCCACCACTGGAGCACTGTATGGCATCCAAATTAATACCCCCAATAATATCATCTCCTTTACAATCGTGTATTATTACTTTACTGGTGCTAGAAAGTTTTTTTTATTTTATGAAATCTCTGTGTTATTACATATGATAAGGGAAAATAGGTGTTACCAATGACTATAAAGGGAAAAGCTACCTTTTCACCATAGGCACCATAGGCACAACCCTACTTTGTCAAATGTCAAAAGGAAAATGCTGCCCTGGTACACTTTAAAAGTGCAGAAAGTGAACGAGAGCTCCATGTTAATAATAGCAACTCCAATATCAAAGCCTCTTCTTGCTCTAAAGAAAGTTGCAGCCACAGTTAGCTGAATGTACCCTCCCTCCCATATTTGCAACCATTATTTTAT